GGCAAAAGGGGGTCCAACCCGTTACTAGCGTGGTGTACCTAATAAAGTGGCCGGTGAGTGTATACTGTATTCTTGTAGCTAATTTAAAATGGACATAAGCAAAATTTATTTTTGAGCCATTAAATACAGTCTGTTAAGTTTTCTAGGACATTTTAATGAAATGAATAAAGTTAATAATAAATTTCTGAACTATTACGTCACAGTATTTCCAATAAAAAATTTAAATAAGCTGTGGACTTATCAACTAGTTTCCACGTCTTCATTCTCCTCTGGCTCAGACATGTAAAGGCCCTGTCACACTAGACAACTTATGCCAACTTGTGAAAATTTTTTTTGTCTAAATTGCTACTAAATTTTTTTTAATTGATCCATTTGTTAGAATTACATTATGTACACACCAAAAAGAAGCTTCCTGATTATTTTTTCAATTCRATCTTCAACGTAGATGTCTTAAAAATGTTCCTAAGTTGTCTAGTGTGACAGGGCCTTAAGGATGGATGGACAAGTCTTCTGTRGACATATTTTAGTTAGTTTGTAAATAAAAAGTTTCTGCGCTGCTAGATAATCGTAAACCCCTCTATCAAACTGGAATGAACCTCTCTGGAAGCTGGAGGTGGGGGACGGGGTGTAAGGGAACAGCATCAAAACGAGTTACTTTGAGACACACCTCAGAAAACGGGGTTGAAATAGGGTCTGCTAAAGACAAAATAAGCATTGCAGTTCCTATAGACCCCAACAAAATTATTTATATGTGGAAAAAGTGTTTAAAAGTATATGTCTCCTTTTAGTATGAATAGCTAATATTGACTAAATCTTTTTTGTGAGGACTGGGTCTATAATTTTGCTAAAGAGGCAGATTGCTAATGTTAGCTAGCTGACTTTGCTAACATCCCTTCCACATAGCTTACCTTTCAATAAAAGTTTGACACACCCCCCCCCCCCCCCCCGGTCTCTGAAAGCTGCAGGATTTACAAGTCACTGTATGATTTCTTCTGAATGTTGTTTTACAGATATATTCTTTATGATTTATGTTTATGTTGCCAAATTGTATTACTGAAGATTTTACAAACATCTTCCGCTCCCAGCAGTGGCAGATCTAGGATTTTTCAGCGTACGGGGCCATAAATGGGCCAAGTATTTGTTCAACATGCTCGCACACAAATCCCCTGTTTTAGTAAGGTGTACAAATTTAATCAGTCACATATGTTCAGACACTTGTAAAAACTCGAACAGCTAATTCTCTTTATCAATTTTACGTGCATTTTTACTGTACGTAAATAAAATACTCTCAAACACACAAGATGTGAGAAAATCCAGCCATCGTTGTCAGTTAAAATACTTTTCCTGCAGGATTATTCAAATTAAAAAAGACGTGTCAGCTTGCTTCATGCCGGACTTTCCTATTTGACTCATTAGCGCCACTACTGTTTGGTAGTGGAACTGCAGCCACTCTTGGGCACTTCAGGGGGCCAATGCCCCTGTGGCCCCTCCCATAGAACTGCCCCTGGCTCCCAGACAACCACTGCTTACTGTATTTGAGTTTGAGCGAAAGGGGGTAGGGATGGGTGACAGCGGTAACAAAAATACATAATTAGCATCGAGTCATGCATGGATTTGAATCAGTTTTACATCCAATGAAAACAAGAATGTTAAATAAATTGGACAATATTCTGGCATTTTAGTGACATTTCTACAGTTGTTGAGACAAGAGACTACAAATGCGGTCGAGTCAGACCATCAAAAAATGCTCTCAAGACCAATCTTGAGTACTACAACAGCCTGACAGAGTATTTTATGCCTGTTATGGTAATTATTGGTCTGGTTGAACAGAGATTTATTTTTATGCCCAAGCAAATACTTTATAAAACCATCATCGCTTTTACTAAACGTAACTTCTGTTAAATGATTGTTTTGGCCTGTGTGTATGCTTCTGCATTACCACTCAAAAATTTCAGTGAATCTTGCAGCAATCATTGATTTTTAGATGTTGAGCTACAGCTTAGACTAAAGTTTTGACTAAAATGGCTCCAACGTAAAATGATCTCTCTGTAAAACTCTTGGCATCACGAGTGGCAGATGATACCTTCAAGGAATGTTGGCTCCTTAGTTTTCCATCAGTATTCACTGTTTTCTTCGTTTACYTTTCAGAACAATACGACACCTTTGTGAAGTTCACACACGACCAGTTAATGCGACGATTCGGCGAGCAGCCTGCAAGCTGTGAGTTTTCATTTCCAGCCCGCCTCACCTGGCACGCGTTCAGCCAACAGGTCTGCTTTCTGTATTACATTTCATCTCCCTTCTCCTCCAGATGTTTCCTGAGTGCAGCACCAAAGCTTTGCAAGAAGGCCTTCTCTTGTTGCGAGCCGAGCTGCCCACCGCCACCCTCCCTCCGATATCCTGAAGAAAAGTTCCTCGTTTTAAGAGATTTGATTTTAGCCAGTTCAAATTAAACTTTTCTTACCGTGCCATATATCTCGTCTTTGGGCAAAAGGTTTGTATGAAGCCGTTGCTGGCACTCTGTTGTAAGCAGCTAAGTGCTTCCTGATATAAATGAATRGACCCGTCTCTACCAGTGGCCTCTGTTCCTCCAGCTTATCTCACTTTTGTAACAGTTCCCAGCATTCCAGGCTCCGTCACTTCTGTTTTTGTTACGTGTAAATATGGGAAAAGCCGTGGAGTTTTTACAAGATTTGCTGGTCAGTCTGAAAGAAAACGAAAGGAGTTCAAGTTTGCAGCGCGTCTCCCATTTATTGCTTTCTAAGCACTACTTTGTTTTTAATAGTGTTTTTTTTTCTCTCTGCTGGTATCACTTTAAAACCAACATAATGAAGAAATTAAAAAGTTAAATCTTATTTGTGGAACCTTCATATCAGCTCATCAACAAAAGCAATTTTACTTTAAATTTAACCTTTTATAAAAAGGCATCTGTGGAAGTCACAGGCCCTTTTTTTAAGTGTCTGCTGTGTGAATGATCCCACYGCAGTTATTTTTCCATTAAAGAACATCCTGACTATATTAGTTTAACCCCAATATTGTTCTTTCAGATYTGTTTCTAACAATCACTCAGCCGTGCAGCAACATTTTGTTGTTACCTTCTACAAATAAAAATGACATCCAACACCTAAATATTGTTTTACTTTACTGTTACAGAAGGAAAAAAAATGTTATTTACAGACAAATGCTTGTTTTAGAGGGAAAAAAGTCCAATAGAACATGGACAACAATAAGAACAGTGTGTTTGTTTTAACAGCCACCCCAGGTGAGTCGAGCCACGTGGTCGGTCTTCTGCTTCGTCGACTTGATGAAGCCTAGAAACTCGAGCTCGGATACTGCGCGAATGAAACGAGCGCTGAAGGATGGGGTTAAGGAGCAAAATGTTTAGATTCTGAGTCAATCTTTTTTTGTGTCATTTCTAAGAAATCAGAGTGGCCACATCTACTATCAGGGAGTGTTCTGTCTAAGAACAAACAGGAAACTTTGTATCAAATATTTCTTCCTACCAATCTGAATTCTCCAAACTAAAAAAAACAAATAAATAAAACAGGCCATGAGTTCCTTGTAATGTTAGTTTCTTTTGTGAAAAGAATGGGTTTTGTTCTTTAAAGTTCTGGGAGTCTACAAGGAAATGGAAACACCGCTTGTGTGTAAAAAACAAAACATCAGTTTTAAAAAGGATACTGTGTGACTTCATCTACTTTCCCGAAGCCCTCTGAGTCTGGATCGTTCCCCTCAGCAGCAGAGACCACCGTGGCGAAAGCCTCAAATACAAACAAATACACATTTTTCAGTCATGTGACGTTTCATATCAGCCTTGCACCAGCATGTCATCTTCTCTTCAATACTGAGATACTTAGATCCTCTGGGTCAATAAAGTCTTTTCAACGGACAAAAATAGAGGTTGACACAAAGAAATAACACATTGAACTAAATGTTATCATCTCCTGTAAAGATTTCCTTTTTTTTACCTCAACCAAAATTGTTAAGGTACTGAGATTAACATTAACTGGAAAGTTCCTGAAGAAATTGCAGCTACTGCTTAATATTCTAAAAAAAATTCGTAACCTGAGCAAAAGAATGTTCACGAAAGTCTAAGTCACAAGTAAATCTGGCATCATTGCACATTTAAACAATTTTATTCATCATATAACCATTACTTTATTCTTTTACTCACAAAAAAACTACATGTTTCAAGTCTGATATCAGGCAATAATCTCACATTAACAGTTTTCTTCCTATAAATGAGCTGCTGTTGATACCTTTGGCCACCAGATGGCGCCAAAGGGAGCTGTTAATCTTCAAGAAGCGGAACTTTTTTTTTTTTTTTTCAAACTAAGTTTCAGAAAAGCTTTGCTCATCACTAGACTAAATTTAACCGTGATCAACAGAATTATTAAAGCTGCTGCCAGTGGCTCATTATGGTAACCACACACTTGTCTGTAACTCAGAGTAAAGTTAATGAGGCAGACAAAAAGGTAAGCCTCAAACGGTCACTGTTCAAAAACTAGAAATTATTCCGCAAAAAGCTGTGAACAACAGCAGACAGTGAAAATCACACATGTTAGTGTTTTTTAGGTTTCTACTGTGTTTTATGTAAGAAAGAGACAGACATTTAAGTCAGCTAATGTATGGAAGTTTGTGTTCTTTATTCAGGTGAGATTTGAGAGAAAAACCTTACAGCAGTGAGACACGCTAGGTGAATGAAGACAAAAATACCAACTTTTTAATCTATTATATATACAAGTATCAAAAGGATTTAATGGAGTAAGAAGAGATTTGAAAATTTTAAGATTATATGGCAAACTTTTTTGTGGATAAAACAAAACGCAGATGTGATTTAACAGTAAACTCACTTCCAGCCAGTCACACAGGTTGATGAGCCTGCCACACTCCAGGTGGAGCTTGTAAGCAACGCAGATATCTGGAGCAGCGTTCGACACCGTTCCATCCTCCGTCTTCAACCTGTCATTCTGAGGAGAAAAAAAGATAACTTCCAGAGGTGCCGCACATTTTTCATAGATCTCACAGTCTTCAATATGGATGAAACGATTCACTCAAGCCTCAATTCGATTTTAAGTTCACGATTAGCCATTTTATAACCAAATATGTTTCTTCTTCTTTTAACATCAGCAAGCTTGTCCTTGAATCAAACTGCCTGTTGCAACGGAACATCACTTCAAAATAGATAAAAATTACATCACAAATCCACACAGATGAGGAAGACCACCTGCAGGTAATGGTAGGGGCTGCTGAGCGCAGCCTGAATGGAGGTGCGCGGCATGGCGTTGAGGTGGCGCCTCACAGCGGCAGATGAGCTGTAGTAGCAGACTTCAAACAGAGGCTTAGACTCGGGCGYTGACAGATGACTCCTGGATGGAATAAATCAGCACTTTATCAGCACCCGTCATTTTATTAAGTTACTTTCTACACAGCAGAAATCGTTTCTGTTCTCTTACTTCACTAAACTGTCGATAAACTCCAGGACTTCGTTCCTCAGAGTCTCAAACGGGCTCCTTTTCTTGGATCTGCGAGACTCGTTCATCTCCAGCAGCGTCTGCAACCAGGATGATAAAGTCTGTGAACCTCAGCCGTGCAGAAATGTTCCCTCCTTCAAGGAAATGCGCAGAAACAAGTTTGGACAAAGGCACCAGTTACCTTCTGCAGCTGGAACAGATCGGTTTTCTTCTGGAGGTTTTTCACGGGAGGACTACGATTTTCCTCCACTCGATGCGCGACTTCCGCAGCAGCTGCAGTAAGAACAGGGCAGCAGATTAAAAAGAAATCACTTAAAAACACTCGTTCTATTTTTTATTGATGACAGTATACTGCACAAAACTCTAAATAATACAACTAAATAATTCCTGTAAAATAAAATTAAATTGTGTTTCGATTAGCTGCACCGCTGACCATCAAGTTGCTTCAGCCTGGAGAGCAGTTCTTCCAGCTGGACGAGAGCGTTCTTCATCTTCTTTGACTTGACGCTTTGCAGAATCTCTGCACATCTCTGAAGCAGCAGAATCAGCTCATCTTTAGCCAACATTCTAGAAAACAAAACAAATCTAAGTGAAGTGTTTGCGTGTCATTATTGATGAAAAGCTGACATGGAAATCTCACATAAACCATTTAAAAACAAAAAATAGCCAAATCCATTGCAGTATTATACAAAGTAAGGGACTTATTTAATGATAAAGCACTGTTTAGATTATATAATGCAATAATTGTTCCACACTTGATTTACTGAGTTGACTGTCTGGGGTAAAGCGTYCAAAACAATCACAAATCCTATTTTTATTTTACAGAAAAGAACCATTAGAATTATCACCAGAAAACATTACTGTCATCCATCGAATATATTATTGTCTAAATTGAAATTATTAAAATTTTATCAGTTGGTTGATTATAATATTTTGCAGATTATGTATAAGACGCATAAAAAATTACCTTTAAATATCCAGTTATATTTTGTTAAGAGAGAAAGTTTATAATTTTAAAGGGACTTGAGATGTTTATAAAACCTAAAATACGAACAAATTTGAAGGATCGATGCACTGTTCAAGGAATAAGATTATGGAATAATCTGGAAAGTGATTATAAAAATGTTGGTTCATTGTGTTTAAGAGAATGATTAAAATAAGTCTGTTAAAGAAATATGAAACTATATAATGTATATCAAAAGTTGTTGTTTGAAAAGGAATTGAAGTTTTTGTTTTTTGATTATTATTGTTTGAAATTAATTTTGGAAAAAAGGGGCAGATATAAGATTTTTTTTTCTTTCTGTCTCCTTTCAAGTGTGATTTTTTTCTCTTTTTTGTGTATAAAATTTTTAGTTTTATTTTTAAATTAAATGAATAAATGAATTAAAAATAAGTCTCTTAATACAGCAGGAGGTAATAACCCTCGGAATATTCCTGAATCTGTCACCATCTAGCGGCTAAAAATATGCTAATAAATTAGCTGGGGTGGAATGGAAAAATGTTGATAGCTTTTCCATAAAGCAACCTTGAATTTCTGTGCTTTTGTTTACATGTAGCTCAGCTTTCAAGACTTACTTTAACAGCTTCATGGCAGATTGGTAATCCTCAGTCTCCCACACATTCTTCTCCAGACAAATCAAATGCAGCTCCCTGATCTGGAACACACAACAGCCCCGCTGTTACATCCAAACAAAGGAGCCTCTGTGCAAAGTGAAAACTGAAATACGTAACCTCTCACCTGTTTCCCAAGAGGATATCGAGGTAACGACGAGGTCAGGGTGTGGAGACACCTCAGGACGGGACAATAGGTCTTGTGGTATTTATGAAGGTCCTTTATCAGTTTCTGACACACATCCTAAAAAGAGAAAAGCCCTCAGCTTTAAGACAAATAAACACATTAATGGTCTGAGATAAAGCCGTTTAACAAACCTTTAAATGATTGTTGTCCATCATGAGTTTGTCCTGCTCATGTGTTTCTTGCTTTTCTACATACCTAGGATGTACAAAGTCAAATTTATTTATTTAGCACATTTACAAACAACAAGTGCTTTACAATGAGGTCGAGAACAAACAGGAAGAACAATCCGTAAATAGATAAACCATGATGTGGACAACAGTGGACACCTGAATTTCAAATTTAAAACAACAAATTGTCCAAGGTTCCTGACAATGGAGGGACAGTGAGGAACAAAAGGGCCAATAAAAATCTGTAAAACTACTGAGAGAAGAATAATTTCTAAATACAGTTTGTCTTGTTTAGGTTCAAAATCAGACAGTGAGTTAACCAGTCTTTGACATCTTTTAGGTGATTAACCAGAGGCTGTAGTGGTGGAGATACAGTATGTCAAAAATTAAAAAAGGAAATATATTTGGATGTCGTCAGTATAGCAATGAAAGTAAATGTACTTTCTGAATAGATTCCAAAGGCAGCATGTATAAACAAAAAGGGTCCAAACATGGACCCTTGAGGTACACCAAAAAAATTAATTAATTAAATAGATGTATTTAATCCATAAAACAAGCTCCAAAAAGGAAGTTCTGTTTCCATTAAGCAATAATAATAAAAAAAAAAATCAAGTGAATGAGTTTGTTTGAGCACCTCTTAAAGGACGGCAGCTGCCGGACCCTCTCCAGGTCTCTGTGACTGAGCTGCGTCACGTTCAGTAAAGCCTCCTCCTTCCTGCAGCACAGCACGCTGAGAGGCTGCGAGTGGAAGTGCTCCAGCAGGGCCAGCTGCACCGACACCAAGCACAAATTCAGATTCCTGMTTTCATGTTTTCTAAGCTACACGTTCGGAGAAAGACGTGCGGTTCGACGCCGGCCCTCACCTGCAGGCCCTTGATGAAATTCTTGACAGAGAAGTCGTGATAGAGGAAGATACTCYTCAGCACCTGCATCACTTTCCCGCTGAGTTTGAAGGGAAAAGACGGCGTCAGGATCAGCTGGAAATAAAATAAATAAATAAATAAATACATTTCTTCTCTGTGTATTTGTGATCAAGCTCCAAAATTTTTCAATATAAATTTTTTGGGTGATTTTAACCCTGATCGGGCTTTAGGTGTGAAAGCACCTTGTTCATKACGGTGGTGAGGTGCTGGGTGCAGGACAGAGACTGGAAGAGCTCGATGCACAGCAGCGAGGACACRGAGTGAAGCAGCATGTGCTGGATGGTGCTGGGAGACGTGGCAATGCCAAATATGAACATCAGGGGAAGGCGCTGAATGTATCGGCTGTCAAAACCCAAAACATTGTTTTATTCACCTGCTTTGTTTAGCTGTGCCGTGAGCAAAATATCAACAGAACCAGTGAACAAACTTCACTGAAACTATCATAAAGTTATCACTGGACGGACATCAACTGATTCAGCAAAGCAGTTCTAGTTGACACAAAAATGGCAAGAATTTCCTGCACTCTGAGTGCTAATTAACTGGGCGAGGTCTGTGATTTTGCTATTAACTGTTGGAATAAAAACTGTTAGCAAAATATCTTGTGAACGAATCACTGAATAGATTTTAATGAAACTTTCAGAAAGTAACCATTGGATGTAAGTCTATAACTGATTAACCTGTGAAATCAACCCATTTCAACCACAGCTAATCAAAACTAGCCTGAGCCAATTATACAGATACTAAGCTAAATGTTGGCATGGTCACAGARGAGAGTCATTAACAACATAACCAAAGAGCTAATAGTTGACAAAAGGAATCGCAACATCATCGGACATGTGGATGTTATTTTCAATATTTAATCAAAATGACGAACTATTTTTTTTAAGCATACGATAATTTTAATTTTAAAAAGATTCCTTCAAGGAATGCTACACCTTTAACTGGATTAGGTGACAATCAGAGGTGATGAATCTGTGGTGTTTGTAATGATGTGCGGATCAATAAGGATATATTGATATGACCGATACCAGAAATMTATGCTCTAGAATCGATACTAAAATCAAAATATTGATACTTCAYTCATTTATATCATTAACGGAACACAGTGGAAACCAACTAAACTATTGAAATCTTATCTAAGTCATAAGAACTTGAAGGGAACTACTTTTTCTTACGCCTTGGTAATAAATGAGCGCAGCGGCACATGCTAAGTTCATTATTTTCCTGTTATTTTGTTCATGTAACATAGATTAGGACTCAAGTTTTCATCTTTATAGTAGTTTTCATTAATCAAACTATTTATTTTAATAATCATCTAATCYTTTTATTATTTAAAACACCATTTTCACATATTTTGGATAATTGTGTCCTCTGATTGGGCTTTCTGTTGTATTAGCTCAGTTATATTGTAAATGAGGACGCTACATATACTTCAGTATCAGAACTGGAGTTTTACTCTGTATCAGAATCAGAGAACAAAACTGGTGATATTGAACATCACTACTTGTCTATGAACAAATAAATTTTTTGATTAATGTGTTAGACTCACACTTGGACTCCAACGTTCTTACACACCTGCAGACAAGTATGAAATCCTGAAGAACTCTCGGAGTGAAAGCTTCCAAATCTTTAAAAATGACCACAACAGGAGGCTGTTGCTGCTGCTCATTCATCACTGACGAGCTGCGCTTTTTCCCAGGAGTGCCACTGCTGGATTTCTGAAAAAGAAATCCTCTCCTGTGAGCACTTTGTAACCAGACCCTGAACACCTGCAAAGCCGGGCTCGATTTACGCCTTCACCTTAGTTTTTGAAATATACCAATCGCAGAGATTAGTCAGAGAGCAGTGCACGCTCTGGCAGAGAGGATTCTGCTCACTGTCCTCRTCCTCTTCATCATCATCAACAGCCACGTCGGTACCCATCAATCTCTCCAGGACCTTCTTCATCAAGTGCTTCAGCGCTGGAATCACAAAAACAAACACAGACCTTAACYCACCAATACACATGGTAAAATCTAAATGCACTGCCATTATTATTTTTTATTTAAACCAGTACCTCCACACTCTTTGGCCTGAACAGAAGCAACAAAAGGAGTGACGGACTGTCGGAGGAGGTCAGACAGGCTCTGGAAGGTCATGTCGTGATCTGGGACGTTCACACCTGCAGTAAAACAGGACATAAGTTTGAACAATTTTGTTCCATAGTAATGTTAAATTAACAAGATGAAACTACTTCGATTCTGTAATTACAGAGTGTTAAACACTACTACATACCCAGCACGAGAGCAGCTGTGGGGATTTCGCTGGCCCTAATCTTTGAGGCCCAGTCGTCGTGTTGACGAGTGGACGAGCACTTCTTGGTGAACTCCAGTAAGCTGTCCAAGACTTTTCTGTTGAGTTCATCCTGCAGAACCTTATCAGAAGCACGAAAGAACACTTTCATTACCTAATCCTTTAATCTTGTCAGAGTGGCTGCTCCAGTCTTTAACAGATATTAGTTTAGATGCAACAACACTGATTCCAAGTTTTGCTAATACATCTACTTCAAATTAAATAAAACGATATATGCAGTAAATCTATTGATTCTGTTCTTACCTCTGTGTCAGTTTTGATTTCATGCCACAGATCCTGACAGAGCTTGAATCTCAGCTGACTGTTCTCAGCACCTTCACAGCCATGAAKAAAATATCTCTCTGTAGGCAGAAAACAACATTTAAACACCTGAATCAGGATTACAGACAATTCGAATAAACCTCAATGTATCCCCACCTAAACCGAGAGCCTTTTTCTTCTTCTTGGGACTGGGCTTGAAAACAAAGCAGCCCTAAATGAGCAAAAATAGCAAATTTAGAGTATCCGTTTTATACAAATAAAACAAACAATTATATGACGCAATCTTGTTTAACGCCCGTACCGGTGAGTTGTTAAGTTAAAAAAACAAAACAAGTTACCTTTGAGACGGACGAAGTGGACATAATCACATGAAACCGGTTGTTTACTCTGTTAGTGGGTAGCGAGCAGTTAGCYTGTTTTTAAAAGCCTGCTTCCCTGCCTTCGACAGATTTCCCGCCATGCAGTGACGTTTACGGAAATAGTTGTTCTCACTGTATGGCAGACCCTTGTAACACACAATCAAACCCAACATTACTTGTTTTTAAAATGTGAACAGCTGTTCTCTAAACATCTATGTAAAAGTGAAGTTGTTACATGACATGTTAATTCTACCTGATACTTATGCTAAAGTGGCATTCCATTCAGTATCTTATAATATCTTTATAATATATACGTATTTAGAAATAAGGATATTCACAGTTATTGATATTTAATTTATTGATGTAAGGAATTGCTTAACTTGTTATAATATGAACTACAAATGTCACTAAGAGGTTTTCAAACCTGTATCTCAAATTTTTTTTATTTTTAACATCTTAAAGTAATCAAATGACTACTAAGGTGACTGAAGGTATATGAAACACTAGTTTATATACATTTGTGAGATTCATAATATTCATTCAAAACAGGTTGGAGGGTACTTGTGCATATTTAAAGCAAAATAGCCAGTACACAAGAATGGGAAAAGTAATAAGTTAATAGGGCATATTTATAAGCTAACGTCATAAAATTGTCAAAATGCTGAATTTTTTAGCTGAATAAGAAACTGTAATCAAAATTAAGAATGTAATGGAATATGCGATAACCATATTTTTTTAATTTATAAATTTGTTTTCCCTGCATGCCGTACTTCCTTCAGTAGTAAACATAAATTGTTTCAAATTAATTTTGAAACAATGAGAACAGTAAAAAAAAAGTTCCATAAAATACAGTATTTCCAAATTACYATAAATTACTAACGATAAAGTATTCTAAATGTGATTCTTGCAAATACTTTTAATTACTATTATAAAAATATAAAATGAGCTAGTGCAGTTTTCATTGAAAACAAAGTTGTATTCCTAAATGTTTCCCCCCTAAATCAAACATCTAAATTAATTACAAAAATTAAAAGACAGGTTTATAAAAAAGAGCCAGTAACATTTTATTGAACACTTTGTGGAAGACATGTAAATATTACAGATAGGTCTACTAGTGTTGAAAAGGGATGAAATAAATACAAACAGAACTTGAAATCCCATAGGGATATATAAAAACAGTTTTCTTTAAAAGTGTCCATTTAGTAAAAGAAGAAAAAGAAAACATCTTAAGTACTAAGCATAAATACAAACATGTTTCTAAAATCTATGCCCTATCGATTACCTGGTTAATATAACTAACATACATACTTAAAATCATCAGACAATTGTTTTAATTAAGTACAAAATAGGCCATTTCATTGTCAACTGTGACCATGACTGTAAAGAGCTGGAAATCTTTTGCATTAAGAAATAAACCATTCTGCAGCATAACATCTCAAATCCTGAGTAAGACTGAATGGAAAACAAAATATTGGATTATGATGCACTATAAAGCCACCTTTTAATAACAACTGTGGGCTTCATACGTTGTAGCTGCTTAAGTAAACTTTCAGCACCGTCTAAAAGTGTTTTATCCATTACTATTTTTACATTACTCCCAGATTTTAGTTTTAATGGATTTCTGAAGTCTATAAGATTCTCACAGCCTCTAATGTCYTCAGTGATTTTACTTCTTTGTGCAGGCTTCGGTTTGTGAGCTTTCTGCCGTTTAGAGGGCACTTCAGCATTGGATTTCTCGTTTAATTTGCGTTTAGAAGGGTTTGTTGACTCTGAGGTTTCCAGAAACTTAAGGAATGAGTCCTCAAGTCCTAAAGGCTTGAAAGACCCTGGCAAAACCCCGTCGTCCTGTTGCTCTGGAGCAGTAGGGGTACCAGGATTTGAGTTCTCTCTTGAACTGTTAACAGTCGATCGGGTTCTAAGGGTCAGAATCCTTTTCGGACATGCTGATTTAGGCTGTGAGGGTTTTCTAGGACGACCTCTTTTAGGTCCAGCATCTGTCCCAGTGGAAGCGTGAGATTCTTGAGATTCTTGGAATTCTTGAGATTCTTGAGACTCTTGAGATTCTTGGAATTCTTGAGACTCTTGAGATTCTTGAGACTCTTGAGATTCTTGAGACTCTTGAGATTCTTGAGACTCTTGAGATTCTGGACTATCATCATTGAACTCCTTGCTTTCCTCTTGTTCTAGTTTTTCCACAATCGGCAATTCCTCAGTTTTTGGGTCACTTGGCTTTTCGTCTTCTTCGGCCTCCATCTCCTCCGAAGAACTCGAAGCACCTTCTGCTTTGTTTGCATCCTTGAATCTGGCACGCGAGTACTTCTTGCAGAAAATAAACTGACTCCTCTGATCTTCTATGTATCTTTCTGTGAGGCCATGAGTTGTGTAATGCTTGAAAATACTCTTTTCGGCACATTCTACAGCATCACAGCCTATAAGCATGCATGGGTACTGCAGAGCTGACTTCTTGGTGCACATGGCTGATGCCTCTTCATGAGATTTTAGTGTAGGCGTGCCAAAACTTGTCCAGTGCTCAATGGACTTCCCATCTTTCTTTTTAGTGTTCTTCTTCTTCACTTTGACTTTATTTTCTAGATTCTCTTTCCTATTGTTGATTCCTGGAAAGAATGTGAGTGATTTATTCCGTCGTCCATCATTTGTTTTGGGATCATAAATATAATCGTGCTTTTTGATCAGGTGGCGGAGGAGGTTGGATTTTGTAGTGTACACACGGTCGCACCCATCATACTGGCACCAAAAGGTTGGATCAACCGAGCCTCTCTCAGACACAGCGATTTCCTTGTGGTAATTCTTGATGTGCTCAATGTACTTCTCAACAGAGTTGAAAGGTAGAGCACATTCTGGCCGATCACAGTTAAAAGTCCCTATGGCCATGGTGGCCATCATAGTGGTGGCCTTATCACAAGTAAATTTGTGAAGTAAGAGGTAATGTTGCACTAATTTTGTGATTCCCATGAACACCCTTGAACAATTTCTCACCTGACACCTGACTTCATCGTCTTTTCCTATGCTCTCACAGCTCTCCTGTTCATTAGTAATAATTGCTTTGTCGATGTCAGGTTCAGTTTTGGTAGGAGGCAGCGATGCCTGATGCATGGCTCTATAATGCAGAATAAGATTGTGCTGGATGGTAAACGCTGCAGTGCATCCTTCATGAACACAGCGATATGGTCTATATGGACTGAAGGCATTGTCACTCTCACACATTTTTAGACTCAACTTTCTCTGACGCTTTTCTTTCCTCTCCTCCTTCGTTGGTGTGCTTTTAGAACTGCTTGGTTTCTCTGGGGAGGACGTAGCCGATGCTGTGGAGGTCTTTGGTTCTTGCGCTTTATTCGGCGACTCCTCAACATTTTCTTGCTGCACCTTTGCTTTGGCTACAGGACTTTGCTTTTCTTTCACATTAGACTTTACTTTCACGTCTGGACTCCTGTTTACGACTGCCACATTAGGCTGCTCCGGAGCTTTTTCAGGAGTTGATGGTGGAGCTTCTTCGAGCGTTTTTTCGCTCAAATAGTTTTGGGGTGATGGTAGTCGTGTAACAGTGGATATCTCAGGTGTCAAGACTTGTTTCACTGCAACTTCTTGGTTAGTGATTTCAGGAACCTTTAGATTGGTTTCAATAACTTCAATTATGGGTTGAGGTGCAATTGCAATGTCCATGGGCTCTTGTTTAAAAACAGGCATTACAGGTGCAGATTGCACTGTGCTGGTGTTGGGTTTAATGCTTACAGGGGTGTTCGAAGAGCTTTCATTGATTATTTTGGCTGGACGCCGAACCCGAGCATTGATTTTTAACTTCAGCATCTCTACCTTTGATAACCGATGGACTTTTTCATAGTGAATTCTCAACCCTGTCGTTCTTGTGAATGTTTTTGAACAAATCTTACAAGGATATGGAGACAGTTTAGAGGGGTTCCTTTTGAGCTCTTCTATCATTTCATTGGTATAATCATGCATTTTGCTTAAGTGTTTGAATAAAGCCTCCTTTGTCATGAATGAGAATTCACAGTCGTCTCGTTCACATTTAAAAGGTTTGGACACCTTCTCTGTAGACTTTGCTTCGCTTTTACTCAGCCTTTTTCTTTTTTCTGTTTTAGGAGTTGTCTGACTTTGACTAGCATTTAGCTCTAAGGCCAAAACATTTCGCATTTTCTCTTGTGCAGCCTCAATCAAATCCATTTTTTGAAAGGCATGTGACATTTCCCCTAGGTGATCTTCCCGATGGGGTCCAGCACGGGGAGAATTAACCAGCTCAGTAGCTTTTTCCTGCTGGTCTTCAGGGCCAGCTGAGTGAGAACTTGGATGGTCCATAATACTTACAGCCTGGGGTTCCTGCTTCAGCATCACAGGTGAATTAAATGTGGTCAAGCTGCCTGATTCCTCTGAGAATTCTCCATTTGGCATGTTGAATATTGATCCGTTGGTGTCAGGGACATGAGGGTCATTGAGGAAATCCAGAAATGATGTTGGTAGGTCTGCTGTCAGGTCAATTTCATCAAGGGGTCTGCATTGTGAACGTTTAGATAGGTGACCTCCGAGAGATTTGGTGCTTGTGAACTCTCTGAAACACCTCCTGCATATAACTTTACCATCCTTAATTATTGCTGGCCATTTGGTGCGCTTGCTCAGCCTGCTGCGTTTTCCTTTTTGCGAGTCAAGATCCTCACTCTTTTCATCTGCATTGCTGGCTTGACACTCAGCATTAGGACAGTCCTCATCAAAAGGAAAGTCCGTGTGAATAACACTGTTTGGACTTAGCATCTCATCTACCGAGTTATCCGTCTGTTCACAACCAGGAGTGGATGCGTTTTCATTTTTCACAATTTCATCTTTTACTGGAATTTTAACTTCTGGACTCCCACTTTTTTCTGGGACATCCACTGACGATGACTGAGTGAGACAAGAGTTCTCACTCGGAGCGTACGGAGTGTGGTAACTTCCATCAGGAAGACTGTCACTTGTTGAGATACTGTTTCCATTATCCATCGGTACTATAATACTTGCACTGCCTTTCCTCACATCTGCACTCTCTGCAGTACTATCAGTGTGCATAAGCCCATACTGAGGTCCACCATTATGCATTTGTCCACCATTGTCAAGCATTAGTGAGCTGGACACATACTGAGACATTAAACTTGAATCTGAAGGAGGATGAGACATAGGGGAACAGTGTGTAGCTGCCACTGAATGAGCTCTCTCAGGAGGCTGAGGCATTGCGGTTTGATAAGCGTCTGCTTGCCAGTGAGGGTAGTTGCGGGAGGAGTACTCATTCATATTAAAGGTTTCAGGATAGCAGTTATTTATTGGCATTGAAGACCATGACTGAGACATGTCTGACGGCATCACAGCATTGGGATTGTTTTGGCACCCCCAGGATGGGTATACTGTTGGATTGATCATTGGAGTAATAGGCACAGGCTCAACTGATCCAGGATAACACTCGGATGCTGAGGTTGAGCATCCTATTGAATAATCCATTTGCTGTATTCCTGGTTTGTTGCATAGTACCCCTCGCTTTCTTGATGATTTTTTCCCCTTTTTTGCTGTAATTCTGGCTACTTTGTTGTATTTCTTTGCCAATTTCCAGTCTTCAAATATTTCAGGATGTTGCTTCTTTACATGTCTTGACAGACTTTTGTTTGTACTGTACGCACGTGAGCAGTCGCCACTTGGGCAGCAGTGCAGTTTTTCTTCACTTTTTGCAGGAACAGTGGGTGAAGTGGAAGGGTATCCCTGCAGCGAATAAGGAATTTCGGTTTTGATTTGACTCGGAGACATTATTTTCGGGAGTACTTTCTGAAATGTGTTGCCTTGTTTATCATTATTCTGGTTTACTTCTGGACTAGTCACTGGATTTGTTGCAGAGGGAATAGGATACACCGGAGGTACATGACTGTGCTCAGGCACATGATGGGATGCTTGTGGCATGTCTGGTGGTGGATTTGCATCAGAGGGTGCAGGAGTGGGGTTGGTGAATGGAGTGTAGCATTTCTCGGGCTCCTTTAGCCCAGGACCTGCCATTGAATTCAGCATGTTTTCAATCGAGTGTTTGACTTTCATGGGAACAGCCTCTCTAGGAACATCAGCCGATGTGCACGGTGATACAACTGCCTCCTTCACACAAACGTCTGTAGTATTTTTTTCTAAGCTAAAAACAGCAGAATGTGCATCTTCTTTGACTGGGGTGCTTCTAGATGGCAGTTCTACTTTTGTGGTTGTAGGAGGGATTTGATTCCCAATAATAAATGTGTTTACGGCAGCATTTGATCTATGATGCTCTTGGTGAGAAAAAAAATCTGATTGTACATAGAATATTTTACCACAGTTGTCAATTTGGCAGGTGTAGGTAAGGTAATGCTGGGCCTCATGATCATACAACAGGTAGGCCTCGCTGAAAACTTGGCCACAATTTGGAAACATGCACTGAGCTTTAAATTCAGAGTGCATTTTTCTGTGCATGAGAAGCTCAGAGTTGGAATTAAAGTGGGCCTTGCAATCCATCTGTATGCAGATATATGGTTTGCTGCCACAATGCATCTGCAAATGATCATTAAGATGTCTGACGTTAACGAACTGCCTTCTGCAGTACTGACACACCACTTTCTGTTTCTGTATTTCTAAAAACCTCATGGCCTCCTCGTCGTCCTTGTGAGATCTGACATGAGCCATGAGGTTACGGAAAATCTTGAATGCCTTTGCACAGTTTTTCACAGGACAGTAACAGTCTTGACTAATCTGAGAATCAGACGTCGTTTGTCCTATTTTAACAGTGGGTGCCAAGTTTTCACCTATTTGAGGTTCAGTTTTAACAGGGCTCATGCTTGTCTTGACTACAACCTTGGAAATCTTTGATGGACTTTTAGGGGACTGAAGTGGTTTGGTTACCTTTCTTGCAGCTTTCATTGCCGCCAGTCTTTCTTTGCACGATTGCTTTACATGGGATGCTACATGTGGCTCCAAAATCTCCCTACTTCCAAAACTGTCTGCACAAATTGGACAAAGATACACCCCATCTTTGAAATGTTTCTGAGCGTGACGGACAATTCTGTGACCTAAAAACTCCTTATCACACAAAACGCAATACTGCATATAGGCTCGCCAATTTCTGAACCGAGCGGACACAAATCCCTGCTCCCGAAGCTTTTTAGCCTCTCTGTTTTTTTCTTTTTCATCTGTAATTTCATTGAGTTCATTTGTAGTGGTTAGCAGGAAGTCCTCCAGGTCTTTGTATTCAGGCATTTTGCCAAGTGTATTTTCCACCTCCTGCTCATCTGTGTCATTGAGTGTGTCAATAGATGAGACAATAGCTGCCTCGTCGCCCATCAATGCTAAACAGTTGCGTTTCAGTGTTTTCCAATCCCAGAACTCTGGATCAAAAGGCCACTGTGTCTTCAAGGCCAGCAGTAACTCACAGCGTAAAGAATTGGGCACGGGCAGACTCCCGTCCTCCTCAAGCTTTTGGTCAGGTTCGTTGTACAGCGACTCTACGGCATAGTAAGAGTCAACAGTAGGCTGCAGGAGGAACTCCGTCAGCTGGCACGCGCGCTTAACCTCGAGATCAGTTGGCAAGAGGCAGGAAATAGTCTTGCAGATGGTAGACTCATTGTCTTTATGGTCAGTGGAGGTCATTTTTAGAGCTTGGATGCACATTTCTATGCAGACTGGAAGCCCCACTTCTCCAACCTAAAAAATGTAAACAAGAAGTTAATGCCAAGGATTTTATTTATTTTTTTTGCACAAAGATCTAATGCCTTCTAACACTGAAACATGCACGCTCTGATGTTAAATACGCTCTTTACAGGTTATTCCTTAAACATGCACACCTTAAACATGCACATGGATTGTTTTTCTTACCTCATTTTGGATGACTTTGATGAGAAACAGAATGTGACAAACATTTCTGCAGAGGAGAGTCATCTCTTTGCTGTGGCTGAGAAACGAATCAGCCGAAGCCTCTAATCGCATGAGCAATTTACTCCAGAACAGGGTGAGTTCCCTGGAAAGGTTAATAAATTAACAAGTTAAGATTTGAACATTCAGAAAAAAATAAAAATAAAATGAAAAAATGCAGATTATAATAAAAACACCAAAAAATTGTAATGTTTATATTTGGTACAAGAAGTATGGAACCACTTACGATTACTGGTTTTGTTTAATATATTGAGCCTAAAGTCATAGCTAAGTTTTAAAAAATGTACATTGTGGGTTTATGTTACCATAGAAAAAAATGTATCCAGTTATGGGACACTAAAATCACTCTTTGAGTAAAAAGTTACAAATAACAGAACATGCAGCTGCCACAATAATTTGAAAATAGCAGGCACACATTTATTTTTTTTCTTCACAGCTAATAGTTTCTGCTGACATTCCTCTTTTTTGTTATTGCTGCTGCTTCTGTGTTCTTACTTCTGGCCATCATACTGTATATTTGTCATAAACCACCATGCACCACTCATGAATAAAACAGCATTTTTTTTTTCTTTTTGCAAAATAATTGTATAAAAATATATTTATTTGAGCACAAAGAGTCTGAATGTGATCATAACTAAAGGTTAAATTTGGACGGTGCTCAGTTCTGGAACAAATATGAAACAATTTCAAGTTTAAAAAAGTACGGATTATTATTTTTCTTAAGCCTTAAGGAAGGCATGCAAAGCACAGTTATATTTGTCTGTATACAAATCTCAAATTTGTCAGAGGTGTAGAAGCTTGAGCAAAACAGAGCAAATTACACAATGACTGGGTGAGGTATGGTACTAAATCTATTTTTTAAGGCAGATAAATAATTCTCTGCACTATTTGTGTTTTTTGCTTTGTCTTTTATAAAAGCAACATTTTTATAGAGATTTTCAAGCTATCCTTTGAACACTCTCCTCTTCTGCTTCAGAAATCTGAACTACAGTACTTAAACCTCTTTAATTTTTTTAAATTAAACCATGTATTTTGTTCACTTTTCTACTGGGTTTTCAAGGTTCAACAGCAAGGAAGCAAGAGACCAAAATTTCTATTGAACTACTGAAAACCTGGAACATTTACTGTTTTGTAAGATTTTTGGTRATAAATCCATTTAAGTTGTTTTTCTACACATTCAGTGATTTTTCTACTCTCACGTAAAGCAAGTGTAACACTTACCAAGCACAGTAAACGTCTCCCTGGATGAGCTGTCGCTTGAGAAAGGCAGTGCACATACACAGAGCTCCATTCTCATCGCCCTCCGACTCCAAGTTGCAGATCATTTCAAGTGCATCTTTACAGTCTATTGATGAAATCTATGAAGAGGCAAAGCAATGAAATCCACTGAAAATCAGTCAAACCGACAAAAAACAACTTTTAAAGGTGTCAGTAGTTGGTTTTATTCCTAACTGCAACCATWAATGGAGTGTTCTTTGCTGCACCATTGTGTGATCTGTGTGTCCAGTTTGAATCAATACAGTTTCCACAGAGAACTATTTCTTACCTCTTCCATCAGCTGCTCCTGACTTTTTGCCATGCAGATGCAGAGCAAGTAGGTCTGTTTGAAGTTCACTTTTCCTTCAAACCCTGGATACTCTGAACAAATCTTCGCAAGAACAGCAGCTTTATCAATACTGCCCACCTTGATAAGGTGCTTTATTCGCATGTTAACAAGCAMGGGACCCTCCAATTCAAGATAGTCGTGGACTAGAAAAAGAGAAAAAWAAAACAAGATAAGAAGCCACAGAACAATGCGAACTCCAGCGACTGCAAATGCAGTGTGCCTAAACGCTTTTACAGAAATAACATTTAAAGACTAACCTTGTTCAGTTTGAGGAATTTGATTGGACAGAATGCTGCTTAATGTGCTGTTGACCCAAACGCCATCCTGCTGTGCCAGAATTGAGAGCACACAAAGCTGTGTGTTCCCACTTTCTAGCAAAAGGGTGTGTGCRAACTGCAACACAACATCAGCAAATGTGAATTTATTTAATACTGCAATTATTTTTGTTCATCACAAACTTAAATTTACGTCAAACCGAAGCTTTGTGAAAATACTACAAATGTACTTTTCACTGTTTAAAAACTGAGTTTCGTGACGATTTTTACTGCTCATCATTGCAAAGAGAAGCCTGAGTAAAAATCTAATGGTCTGAAGGATACTGACCTTCATGGAGGACTGGAACTCCTCCCATAAGGCACCAGGAATATGCTGGGGCATTAAAAGCAGCAACTCTGCACAGCTCCTGTGAATCCAACAGTCATTTGTTCAAGTCAAACTCAGGTCAAGGATGCGTATAAAGTCTACAAAACAGGAATAATCAATGAAAAGTAAATAMATATCATTGGGAATAAATGATTAAGGTGGAACTGAAGTATTCACATGTTTCCAGGGGAAGGGCAACATCAGTGCACCACTGAAGTGCTCCATGTTTTTAGGTAAAATTGAAGTTTCTGCACCTGAGAAGGTGTTCAACTCACTGATAATAACATTACAAATCAAGTTTATTTAGGTGGTGAAAGCAAGATTGTTTGGGGAAAAAGAAGATGCAGTAAGCCTCTTTGTCTCATCTTTTTTACTGTATATTGTTTGGTTTAAAGGTCTTTGACCTAGGGATGGGAAATCGCCCCTATTTTCAGATCATAAATCATGGTCACTGGCTATCGCTGATAGACGATCCAATCGGCTGATAAGGCATGCGCAGTTACGTTGTTAAAAAAAAGAAAGAAAGAAAAAAAGCAAGCAGGTGTGCGTATTATGAGGGACGGCTTCTTTTTTTCTAAAGTTGCTTGTAAATTCCGTGGTTATTTGGTGTTCGTGTTCGCACATACCTTTCACAGTTTCTGACCCCCCCGCGCCAAGCTCCTGGGAAACCCCCTCCTCGCTGCTGCATACGTCACTACAGGGGATTTCTACCCGGAGGGAGTCCAATGCGGAAAAAAAAAATGGTCCGACACTCGTCACTCGACTTTTATCCACAAACTGGTCCAGGATTAAGCTCAAAAGTTTTTATCAGTCAGTTTTCACCYTGAAAATAGTCTATTTTATCCCCTTTTATGAGGTTTTGGCCATTTGACTATCTTTATAAATCGCTGCTTCCTGGTAGTCGGCTCTGGAACAAGTCACCTCTTTTTTTTAAGCGAGTGGTTGAAGCAAACATTGCGTCTGAGCGCTTTTAGCACAAACAAACACTCCCACAAACTTCTGACCAATCACACCATATAGTTCGTATGTGTTCTTATGTGGAGGCGGGTGAAAAGTTCGACCCGCACACAGAGCCCAGAGTGACGGGGATGAGCAACGGTGAGGGAGTGCGCCCCGGTCCGGTTTGGAACTGGTTAAAGTTATTTGTTCAAATGTATGATTGTCGTGGATTATTCGTTTTGTAACTAAACATAATAATATAGCACTATTTGGGTCAGTTGTGGTGCACCAAAGCAAGAAGATGACGAGAAGAGAGACGTGAAGAGGAGCTGCGCACGTTGGCTCRGACTCCGAGGAAAAAAAACAAAACAGAGAAGCAGCACTGTTATTTTATTCTCTCATTTGCACAGATCACAACGATGATGATTAAAACATTTTAAATTACAGCGAAGGGTGCATTTAAAATTTACTTTACATCCCTGGCACAGCATTTAATTAATTAATAAAGATCGCCCTTAAAAAAAAAARGCATTCCAACCCTTCAATCGCCGATAGACGATTGAATCATTAATCACGCCATCCCTGCTTTGACCATAACTTTTCTGATTGCGATGTTTTTATTAGTGAAGCTTCATTTTCCAGTATGAGTAGGAGTTAAATAGCCTTTTTAAGAAGKTTGACCAACTTTTCTTTTCAGAACACTCAAAATCTGTATGACTGATATCGAAGTTGCATGCTTTCATGTTTCAGTATAACACATTCAAACTCTGTCACACCTCACAAGATTTTACAGTAGCCTTGACTACATTTTACAGATGAGACCATTGAGTCAGTATTAATGTTTGTGTTTAAATTTGAAATGACAGAGGCCTGCATTTTGATCCCCACTTATAGTTAAACACAAGATGTTGTGTTAAACTAAAACTTCATTTTTGCTCTTTTCTGTACACTTATAGGAGCTGACTTCTCCATTTAGCATGTGTAACAGACGTGTGTACGTGTGTGTTGTAACAGACGTGTGTAAATAAACTTGACATAAGGACTACTGAAATAAAAACATGCCACAGTTTTTCTTTACTCACAACGCTAACTTTTCAAGTAGGAGTGGGCCATTTTCACATTCTTCAGAGAGACAGGAAGAAGCCTTAGCAAAGCTGAGGATAGCCATGGTGTAAACCTGCAGCAGAGGCAGTGGATCCTCGTCTGTTTTCCAACGGCCTGCATGTTCCACCAG